GGGGTTGTGTAGAAACTCTGATCTGGATCTGAATCTTTTTTTTTTTTTTTTTTTTTTGTCTTTTGTCTTTTTCCGTGTCCGGCAACGGATCGCAACCCTCAGTGTTGCCCCCGTACCGGACCGGGGACCGGCAACGGGATCGCAACCCTCGGTGCTGCTCCCGCGCCTCGCTCAGCCAGTGAGCGGGAACCGGTCTGTATGTGGGATCTGAACCCTCGGGTGGGAGCGCCGCCGTGCTTCCCAAGCGGCGCACTTATCCAGTGCGCCACTGGGCCGGCCCCTGGGTCTGAATCTTTTCATCAAACTGCACTACATGCAATTCAGCATTCCCAACCAGTCTCCTCTGAGTGGTCCTTTGCTGATTGGGGGGCAGATTAGCTGTCCTTGCTGTGTCCCAGTGTTCTCCTGGTGGGCCCGTCTCCCCCACTGTCTGTGACCCAAACACTTCCCATGGGACGGGCCCAGCACCATCCCTTGCAATGACTCACCAGCCTCTGAATGGCTCCCCTTTTTCAGGTATTCTGGTTCCTTGCTCCTGTGTGGGTCTATGGAAACCCTGTTAGTGGTCTTGCTGGCCCGGGGGCCACCAAAGCCCTCTTCTCCCCTGCTGCCTCCAAGCAACTCCACGCAAAGAGCACAGCTGTGGCTTCTGCTGGCTCCTGCTCCATGCGTTCAGCAATTCCAGCCTAAAGGCAGATGCAGCCCAAAATGCTCCGAGCAGTTTTTTCTTTCTCTCATCGTGGCTTGTCCCTGTTCATGAACTCTGTAGGTATTTCCTCCTCTTCCCCTGAGCTCCAGCGGCCCCAGCTTGGCTGTTGTTACATTTTTATAGTTGTAAATTGGTTGATTTGTGAGAGAGAGTGATGCTGGGGACCATCTATTCCACCATCTTGACCAGAACTCTTGCTCCTGCTTTTCACTATAAGAATAGGGTCTATTCCATCAGCCAGCCTAGAGCTTAGAGCCCAGAGTGAGAAGACATGGAGAGTTAAGCAGGTTTATGTTGGGCCCATTTTTAGGAGCAAACATTATCTGTGAGCCACATGGTGCCTATGGGTGGAGGATGAAGATGGCCCCCACAGGAAGTAGGAGAGGCATAAGCCAAGATAGCTCCAAAAGGTTTTTATTGGTCCTCCAGTATTTCCGCACTCATGAACCCTGCGTGATCACTATGCTCAACATGTTAGTACAAAATGCATGCCCGCATGATCCTTTGATTGGTTAGTTCATGGAAAGCCCCTACTTGCTTGCTTATATAAATTGCAGTGTAACGGCAATAAAGTGGAACTGCCCTGACAGACCCCCTGCCGCGTCTGAGTGTCTCTTTCACGGGGCTGGGTTGGCGGGCAGCAGGCTCACTTTTCCCCAAGATCCCTCGGTCCCAACACTGGGGGGTAATCCTGTCGGCTCCTTCTTCTGGGTCTGCGGGAGGACCCCAGGCATGCCCCCGCAGGTTTATACCCAGTGTACAGATCTATGACTGAGAAAAAAATGTTTGTTGTTATAAGCCACTGAAATTTTAGGGATGTCTGTTGCCAGAGCACAAGTGTTTAATACTAAAGTTGGTACCAACAGTGGGATATTATCATAAAAAGGCCCTAAAATATGTGGTATTGGCTTAAGGACTAATGCCCTAGTGAGAAAACTTGTAGGAAGCTGGAAAATTGGGTGTGTGCATTTTGTGTATAGGATAGGAACAGACATTCATGACCAATTCCCTTTCTGTACTATAAGAGTATTATACCATTTGCACTCGCCACCCTGTACGTAGAGTATGCTGCTCTGGTCCAGTGTTAGGCTTGTCCATGTGTGTTGCTTTTGGCCAATGGAATGTGAACAATTTGACTTACACCATATTCAAGCAGGAGCTTCAAGTGTGCTTGCATGGTATGTTTTGTCTCTTGTACCTGCCCTTTGCTATGAAAACTATATGTCCCAGGTAGGGGTTATTCCATCAGCCTAGTGCCACAATTAATATTCATAGAGCAGAGCCAATCCAGCAAACCAAATGGAGTCAAGCAGAGCTGCAGCTGACCCCCAGACCCATGAATAAGAATAAACATTTGTCATAGATCACTAAGATTTAGAGTTTTTTTGTCCCTGGGGAGTACTCTGGGAGTAGACTAATGCAAGACTTTGTATATTTACCCTCTTTATCATATCTAATATGATTCTCTTATGCTAAGGAATTTAAAGACAAAATTTCTAATTCCAGTTTATTTTTCTTTTTATTAAAGTGCTTAAGTAGATTGAACAGTGTTATCAATAATCAACACAAACTTTACTGAAATATTCACAAATAAAAATCCTCTACTTTATAAATCATTCAAATAGCTATGTAGTAATAGTAATCAGCATTGGAAGTTGGTTAATCTGAATTTATTCCTAACCACACATATGGGTTGTCAAATTAGGAGATTCAATCCAATTACCTTGCATATAGGCTCACTGTCAATACCTGAAAGCTAGTCCCAGCAAGTCAGTGGAAAAAATGATGTGTTTTGTTTAATCTGAATTTATTCGTAACCACACATATGGGTTGTCAAATTAGGAGATTCAATCCAATTACCTTGCATATGGGCTCACTGTCAATACCTGAAAGCTAGTCCCAGCAAGTCAGTGGAAAAAATGATGTGTTTTGAAACTAATCATTTATCCTTGATGCTTCCGTTTTTCCATCTGCACTGAGAATCTTCCCTTAGAGTTATAAATAAAGTATGAAACATTAAAGCTTAGCATACTCTGTGCCTCAGAAAGCATTCATGTGTGTATTTTTAAAGCGGCAACTTACTTGTTCTTGACACAAATTGAATACTATATGGCTTTAAAAGAAACAGATTGATGATTGCTCTTTCCTTGAAAATTGTCTTTTCACTCGAATCACATTAAAATCATACTAGCCTGACACCAGGTTAATAAAATTCATAGAAGATATGTTCAGTAAGTTATTTTGATTGCAATGAGGACTGCTGTCCTACTTATGTAAAATTTACAAATTATTTTAAGTTTCATCCATTCATTCTTCATGACCTTCCATAAAAACAGAAATCCTGCCACCCTAAAGCACAAAGAAGTAAAATAGAAAGTTTACTTATTAGATTTTGATACAGTTCCTTTGGATATTGTCAGGTACTCTTATCATAACTACACAGAGTGGTTGACAAAGGGCAGGGTAAATAAGCCAATTTTGACTAGAGCTACCAGCATAAAGTGGCCTGGTGCCATCATAAAAAGATTCAGTGGTGTCTATGTTTGGGGAGAGTGGCATTTAAAATAAAAAAGCTTGATGATATATATGACAAAATTGTGGGGACAGAAGAAAAATAAAATGATCCTAACTGAATTAGAAACTTTTCTAAAAACCTGTTTTCTTTTGGGAAGTATGTGATTCTGCTATAAAAGAGAGAAGTGTGAAGAGATTGGTACATCAACCCTTATAGTTTCAATAAAATGTGTAATACTTTTAGGTAAAAGCAGTATTGCTAAATCTCCACATGACATTTTGAAACTGCTAGCAATAAAAGGAAAAAAGGCATTAGTCAACATTGGAGAAGAAGAAAAATGGTAAGCTGTGATGCTCTTGTTCTTTTCAATTAAAAAATAAATCGATCATAAGCACAAATGGACAGGCCATCTCAATAAATAAACCTCCTGTAGTTAACCTGTCATTTAAAAAATGAATTGGATGAAACGGATAATTTTCTGCAGTGTACTCAGCCATTTTAAGACTAAAGTAGTTTCAAAAAAACATGAAACATCTTTAGAGAAGGCCTGATTATTTCATATTAGTTGCGGCTCTTTAAAAATTTCAGAGGACTCCATGTCCTACACAGAGTACACAAGGAAATAATTTTCACACTGAACATAGATCCCTCAGGGAATAAAGAAAAAAAAAAAAAAACCCACTCTACACAATACACTTTTCTATAGCATGCAGTATTTAGGAAATAATAAATCATTGTCCTTCACAAAGAAGGTGCAGGTGCTCTAAAATCATCTTCGAACTAATGATTTTAGAAAGAGGTGAGTGTCAAAATTTAAAATACAGACTTAATTTCAAAGTTGGTTTTGCCAAACCTCTGATAAGTCCTAGGAAACCAAGGGTCAGCAAGAAGAAAATTTTCTCCCTATTTTATGACCTATACCTCTACTACCTGTGATGAAAGCCTTGGGTCAAATGCTATAACAAACTTCCTCTCATTCTTGGGGCCAGCAAAGGGTAGCCTGGTACTAATCAAGACTAAAGCAGGAAGCGGTCCCACCAAAGACACCAAAGAGCCTGTCTAGGACTGATCCACCAAAAGATTCCCAAGGCTAATTGGGTACCCCACTGATCCCAAGCAAGTTGATCAATTTGTTGTGACTCAGGATCCCAGCCTTGCACCATCTGCAGGCCCAACAGTCCCCAGAATAGCTTTGAACTGTACTGGATGTCTTTGGGCCAGGCCAGATCTCCCCTTGACAAGCACTCGTAGAGCTGGAAACAAAGGCTGAATGGGCAGTGTAGGCAGAGCACCATTTATTGGAGCCAACCTCCATCTATCAGATGCTTTGTGGACAGGAGCTCAGTCAGTGATTCTGGAGCAGCTTCTCCCAACAGATAGGATGTGAAAACACCTCTCTCTCTAGCCAGAGCTCATATGAATAGTGGAAATCTTCAGGCAGATCCAACCTCTGGCCCAGCACACTCTGCAAGCAGTTATCCACAGGTGAAAATTCAGAGTCCTGGGTTCTGTCATACCGGCGGCTGTTAAAAGCCTCGATGTTGGCCCTCAAGGTGCATTCTTCTGCTTGGAAGTCCCATGGCCTAGCATCAATGTCTGTGTTGGGAAGAGAGGAAGAAAAAGATGCATACAACTCAGGACACCTGCTCCCCTTACCACAGAGCATGGTCTATGGGACTCCAACAATGAAACTACTCAGAATCCCTTTTTTTAAAAAAAAAAAAAAAAAAGCAATGTACAGGGCCGGCCCAGTGGCGCACTGGATAGTGCGCCGCTTGGGAAGCATGGCGGCGCTCCCGCCCGAGGGTTCGGATCCCACATATGGACCGGTTCCCACTCACTGGCTGAGCGAGGCGCGGGAGCAACACTGAGGGTTGCGATCCCGTTGCCGGTCCCCGGTCCGGTACGGGGGCAACACTGAGGGTTGCGATCCGTTGCCAGACACGGAAAAAAGACAAAAAAAAAAAAAAAAGCAATGTACAAAGTAAGTATATAGCATAATGACACTTAGGTTTACAAAATACACATATGTCCACATACATAAGCTTGTATATGCAGAAATTATCTTTGGAAGGGTGGTCTAGAAGCTGGTAACAGTTACTTCTGAGAAAGGAAATGAGGGCCCGGAGGGAAGTGAACTTCTTTTACACAGGTATTTCCTTTTCAATTTCATTATTTCATTCCTTTTCATTATTTCACTGTCTTACTGGTAATATGTATTGTTTTCCAAAAGTGTAATTAAATTCCTTTTATTGAACTTTCCCTGGGGGAGTTTCCCATTTGAATGGAATCAACAGCTTTCAAGGAATGGAAAGCGGGCAGGAGGAGTACTATACAGAGAATCAGAATGGACCAATTACTGAAGACTTTTCTGATTCTCTGGAATCTCCTTCAGCACATAATCCGGCTATGTGTTGGCTTATTTTAAGATTATGAGGTGAAGGCTTCCATGGAAATAGAAACAGAAAGAATAATCTGTTTTGCTTCTACTCACTTTAGCACTTATTTCAGGGCTACGGATACAAATTTCCCAGGTCTCTTATTCCTACACTCAATGGTTTATCATAAGGAAATATAGTTTGAGTTTGGGCTCATAATTGCAGCAATAACAGATGTGCCATTTGCAGGATAAAACATTTTCATGTTTTAAAAATGTATAAGAATTTAAATAGCTAATTGTATTTTATGTCTTATAGAAGTTGCACCCTGGCTTGTTATTTGCCAATCATATTCTCCCCTTTCTCCCTTAACTCTTTATTGCCGCATCCTCTAAAATTCAAGCAGGTTACACGTCCTAGCAAAGACAAGTCATTAGTCACCTTACCAAAATACCTTAAAATACCATTAGGGAAATAATGGTCAAATACCACTACAGCAAATACAATACAATGAAAAAGCTCTCCAAAATAAATTTTGCCAAACTCTGGTTAATCATAGCATGAGTTCTGGTAGTTCAACCACATATCATGCCTCCTGATGTGAGGCAATATGCAGTTCCCAACATTACCTAGGATATATTATAGCCAGGAAGATTTAATTGAATTTATCTAACCTTTAGATCTAACTTTAAGTTAATAGGTAATACCATAAATAGAGGAATAAGATAAATGACACCAAAAAGAATCAAGCAGACAAATCCAGAAGGTAGGTATTCAACTGGCCTAGTTCTTCAATTAGGCACCATTATGGGGAAAAAAAGACTGCTAGATTCAAAATAAATTAACATATGGCTGGCCAGTTAGCTCACTTGGGAGAGTGTGGTGCTAACATCAAGGTCAAGGGTTCGGATACCCTTACCTGCCAGCCATCAAACAAAACAAAACAAAAAACCCCCCAAATTAACATGTATAACAACCAGATGCAATTGTGTTCCTGGAATGAATTCTGACTTGGAAAAAATAGCTATAAAGAACATTTTGGGCTGTGTGGTTAGCTTACTTGGTTAGAGCATGGTGCTGATAATACCAAGGTCAAGGGTTCAGATCCCCAGACTGGCCAGCTGCCAAAAAAACCCTCCCAAAAAACAAATTAAAAAAAAACCATTTTGGGATACCTGAGGAATGCTGAATATGGACTTGATTATTAGATAAAATGAAAATGTTCTGACATGGAAAGGTAGAGATAATGTTAACTGAAAAGGGATTATAAAATAGCATATACAATTTGCTTTCATTTTAATAAGATATGAGTATGCATACATATGTATAGAAAAAGATCTGAAAGAATACTACAATAAGATGTTAACAGTGGCAATCTTTGGGTGGTACAAATATGGTGTAAATATGATAATATAGTAAAATGTTTGCTTACTATACTTTCTTTTTTCCTAACTGCTTTGTAATAATTAAAAGTTATTTTAATTAAAAAAATCTTTTGGAGGAATCTGTCATTTAAAGGAATGTTTTGGAAAGAGGATAATTATCTCTCAATTTACTTACTTTATAAAATGGATTTTTGTAGTTTACACAGGACAAGATTGCCTTAAAGATTGGTGTATCAGCACCTGGCCTAAAATCACATATTTTCTTGTCTAAAATATGTAACAATTCATGCTAAAAGAATAGAGGTAAATGTTTATTTAGTTTTGTTTAAACCCTGGGCAACTCTTACAAGTCAAGATCTCTGAGACGACTCACCATTCCCGTAAGCCCAGTCATCGTTCATGCGGTGGCGTACTTTCTGGTAAATAGCTGACATGGTTTTCATGTTGCTTTTCCTCCACTGGCGCCCCAGGTACTTGGTCTGTATCTTTAGCAGCTTTAGGACATAAAGTTGCAGCATGGCCTGTTTGACCTTGAGGGCCCGCTTTAAGATTGGAGCTGATTTAAACACCACCAGCATCTGCCCATTGAAAGAGAAGTAAGGGTGAACAAAGGCAGATAAAGATCTAACATGTCTTGGAATTTCCAACTCACAGACAAATTAAACCAAACCTGGCTATCTTCAGAACCCCCTGGGGAGCTTTTGGGAATGGGCTCTACTTAAATTTAGTCTTCAAGAGCATACTAGGGGGCTGACCAGTTTAGTTCAGTTGGTTAGAGTACAGTAATATAAACACCAAGATCAAGGTTTCAGATCCCCATACCAGCCAGCCACAAAAAAATAACTAAAAAATAAAGGAATATGTAGAAATTATTCCATTCATATTTCATGATTCAAAGTTTCTAATATTTAAAGGGCATGGTATAAAGTGCAAAAAAAATGTTGTCAGCCACACATCTCATTTCCACTGTTACCAGTTTTTTATGTATCTTCTGGAGACAACACTAAGTAAGCATATACTACTTTTGTTTTTCTTAGCACAAACGATAGCCAACTATATATTCTGTCACAGTGTTCCATACCTTGTTTTTTATTTAGTAATATATCTTGAAAATTATTCAATACCAGTATAGAACTGCCTCAGTTTTTAAAATGGTTGCAGAATATTCTATTATAAGGACTTATCATCATTTATTTAATCAGTTGGTCCCATATTAATGGGCATTTAGGTTGTTTCAATCTTTCATTGTTACAAACAATGCTGTAATGAATAATCTTAGACTTGCATCATTTGGGATGTGTGACTCTAATCCAAATAACATTGCTAACTTCCCTACCAGATCTGTCCTGAGGGAGAGTCTGTATTCAACTCCCTGAAAAGAAATGGACTGGTGAGTAATCATCTTATTAAGTTCCCAGAATTAGGAGACACTAAATCTTATGCAGCATTTTCTGTCTATCTAAAGAGCTCACAAAGCAGGCAGTCCACAAATAATTACTAATGATTTATAAAAACTCAGTCAGATAGACACTTCCATGATCTGAAGCCCCACTTACCATGGTCCTGGAATGCTTCCACTTGGTCAGTTTATTGAGCAGCCTCAGGAGATTGATGCAGGAAAAGAGGTTCCGCCAGCAGAACTGGTTGTTGTCTCCAGCTTCCTGTAATAAGGATCACCCACTATCATCTCAGTACCCACAAGACTTCCATTCCCACAGAAGCCTGGAAGTCACTGTTGGTCAGTTTAGATGAAGCATTCTGGTATAAATGCTACCTCCTCGCTTTTCTGCTCTTCACACACTGAGGTCTCAAAGCACACAATATCCTTCATCTGAAAATTCACTTAGCTGCTAATCCTGGAAGATTCTTTACCTAGAGCAAGTACGGGTTAGAAAGATGATACATAAACATAGGAACTTGATTCAAGTAAGCTTTTTTGTGTAGCTTTCTACTTTAGGACCAATAAAGAGATGATAGAATTTCACCCCCATATACTTTGCACTTATATAAGCTACGTTCGTAATTGCTAGGAGTTAGGTCTCATTCTGGTAGATTTTAAACCATTTTGGATGGATCTGATATTCATTATGGTTGAATTTCTTTTTAAATCAACTCCGACTCTCTTTTATCAAACCATATCGCAATCAGATGCTTAATTCTCCAGCACGGAAGGAAAAATGGCAGATGTTCATTCTACATTAGGTGTATGCCTGTCTTGCTTGCTTCAAATTAATGTTGGGGAGGAAGAGTTAATTGTCCATTCTGACAGCAGTTCACTTCTACACATGTCTCCTACTCCTACATTCTCCTATCACATTATAGATGTGAGGAATTTCCAAGATGTTAGTCTGGGCCTCATGCGTGATCATTTATTTATATAGCTTCTGACACCAGTATATATTTACAGGCCACCAAATCACATAAGGACTCTTATTTTTGTCCCTGAAAGATGTTTCTATGAGTACATACCTGTTTCTAATCTGACATCCATCCGTTATTTCTGGCTAGGTGCTCACAAGCTATCAAGAAACATACGAGCAAAACCTGTGATCAGACTGAGCCTTTAAAGAAGTGCTGCTAAGTGTGAAATGTAATATATCTCAAACCTCCTCAATAGCTTACTCAAGTACTTCAGTGATGATTCTTACTTTCAGATTGCAAACCAACTCTGCACTGAGAAATTGAAATTATTAATATTAACTTGGTTGTTTTATAATGAATCTAGGAGAATTTTATAGTCCAAGGAAAGTTGAATGCTTACCTAATGACCCAACCTCTCTTCCTTTTATACATGAAACTCCTATAGCCTACAAGAAATCTGCTCAAGATCCCATATAGTAATTGTAAGTAGCAAAGCCAGGTCTGTCTTTTCTATCCTCCAACTAGTCTATTTACTTGCTTTGTGCTTCAGGTTTTCCATGCCACGTCAGCCTTGCATTTATTTGAAACTATTGCAAAATCCTAAGTAGCAAAGCCAGGTCTGTCTTTTCTATCCTCCAACTAGTCTATTTACTTGATTTGTGCTTCAGGTTTTCCATGCCACGTCAGCCTTGCATTTATTTGAAACTATTGCAAAATCATCTGCTAGGTTTTAATACTTATTTATTTCAAATTCACAATAATAGCTATTTCTTGGTAAATTATTCTTTTGATCCATTTCTTTATTATGGTTCACATACTGAAATCAAGTCATATTTTTATTTTAGATTTTCTTTTCCCACATCATCATAGAATAATTCTCTTATATGGTTTTCTGGCAAGTTACTGCTAGATTAAGGACATACATCTAGATATCATAGAAGAGAGTACTGGTTCTCAAGTAGAATGAGTGGGTAAGAATGAAGGAGAGAAGAAAATTTCAAAATGATATGGGGAACTTTAGCAAACTACATGTGCCCTGGGGAGGGGACCTGGGCATGTGAGTTTGAAAAATCACCTCAGAGATTCTAATCTCTTTAAGAATCCATTACAGAAATAGTGACCAAAAGGAAAATTGATAAAATGCTAAAAAAATTTATCTATAGTCCTCCCTCTATATAAATACCTCATGGAAAATAGATACATACTTTGTGATTTAAGAATCCATTACAGAAATAGTGACCAAAAGGAAAATTGATAAAATGCTAAAATAATTTATCTATAGTCCTCCCTCTATATAAATACCTCATGGAAAATAGATACATACTTTGTGATGTGTTCACATTATATCTGGGAGAGAGAAACAATAATGCTAAAGACATCACTGGTTTTAAACAGTGATGGTGAATGTCAGAGCAAAGAATATTTAAAACGGTCATAAATCATTGGTTAAATAATGCCTGAAAGGAATGCTATAGCACTTAGTACTTGAACATAATGATCACATTCCAAAAAGAAAATAAAAACCAAAACAACAACAAAAATCTGGGATCTGGAAATATCTGAATTAGGAAGCTACAAAAACTAAACTTAATAAGGATAGGTGAAATGATCTGGTATATAAATTTAAGTGATATTAATATGTTTTTATAAATCTTTCTCAATATAAATCAAACTCAAATTTGAGGAATTTTATAGTAAAATTAAAATTTACTTAATAATTTCACTTCCCTAGATCTAAAAGGAAATGCCAAACACTTCTTTGCAAATGGATAATCATGCAAATTCTGACCCACTGCTGACTATACCCAGCTATAAGGCTTTGGATAGCACTTCACGACTCCATCACTTGGGCAAAATACGGACCAAAATACTCCTAGCTCTGATCCTCCATGATTCTATAGATATTAACCTTCTCCTCATTCCTTCATCTTTAATCTATGAGACAACTCGAGCAACCACACTGTTCAAAATATGCCCTCCTTTGTATATGATGCTGCTATTATTAAATCACATTCTGTAGAAAAAACAAGCAGTTTGAACTCTGTGTTGGTTTTTCAGCAGGGACAACAGGTTTACAGAAATTTCCCCATCCCCCCCCCCAAATGTCTGTAAGATATGAGAGGAAAGAAGAATGAAGTATAATCTGCATGACTTCTCTTTAGGGCTAACAGGCCCATGAAGAAATCAGACCTACAACCTTATCCTCAGATAAGATACCCTCTAAAGCAGTGGTTTCTAAACATTTTTATTGCAGATATCTATCATAAAATAATTTTGGGGTATATTTCCAAATAAATGTATGTTTAGTTCTAAGTTATAAATGCATTGTTATAGAACATTATTATAATGTACACATAAATATAGAAAGTAAAAAAGATACTGATAAAATACACATAAAAGATCTAATATTTTCCACCCCCAAAACATCACTTTGCACCTCACATTTCATACTCACTGCTCTAAACAACCACCCAGATGTTAAGCATTCTACAATACATTCTGAGGCCCATATCCACTGCCTTCTCTAGCAACCTTCTTCCAAAGATCACACCTAACTTCCACACAATCATATATTCACCATCCTTCGTTTAAGTTTGGAATTTAATTTTAATTTTTACCAAGTTTAGTGGATTGAATTTGAATATTGACTTTGGAGATCCACAAATTTTAAGCCTTCCTACACAAAGTGGATGGGGAGTGAGTATGGCCTATTCTAGAACTAACAATTCTGACAAAATGGGAAGACTTCAGAAATTAATATGCTACTAACTTTGCCTTTATTTCATGCCCATCATGCTGTGCAGCTGGAGTTCCAAATGAGGTTGAATTCAATTCAATTCAAATTCAAAAACAGAGAAAATATGAATCAAGATTACCGCAGCCCAATAATTCCACTTCTAGGAATCTATATTAGAGGTCAAAGATTCATGTGTAATGATGTTCGTTTTAGAGTTATATAGGGAAAACTGAAATAAATGTCCAACAATAGTAGGAAAAAAGTCATTTAAAAAAAATTAAATAGTGAAATATTATGTGTAGCTATGAAAAACTATGCCCTCAGGAATGTTTAATAAAATCATATTGCAAACATTTAAATTTTACTATGTCGGGCCGGCCCGGTGGCGCACTGCTACAGTGCGCTGCTTGGGAGCACGGCGGCGCTCCCGCTGAGGGTTCGGATCCCACATACAGACCAGCCGCTCACTGGCTGAGCGAGGTGCGGGCGCAACACCAAGGGTTGCGATCCCGTTGCCGGTCCCGGTCCGGTACGGGCGCAACACTGAGGGTTGCGATCCGTTGCCGGTCACGAAAAAAGACAAAAAGGAAATAAATAAATAAATAAATAAAATTTACTATGTCAAAGGAAACATAAATATATAGTCCTTATTTTGTTAAATAATGTGTTTATATATATATGAACAAATATATATGTGGTAATTACAGCAAAATATTAAAGTGGTTACATGCAGGTGATATAATTAGGGTGTTTTTATTTTCTTTCCCATAGTTTTCTGTTTTTCTCCAATATTTTGCAATAAGTATATCATTGATTTTATAATCGGAAAAAAACTTTAAATGTAATTTAAAGCAAATTTAAAGAATATAAACTTAAATAGCCAGTATGTTTTCTGTGCATGCAATTTGTTAAGACTGACCTGAAAAAGAGATAAATCTTACTAATATAAACATTAGTCTTTTCCTGAGTACAGAAGTCATCAGTTTTGATAAATATGCTGGGTACTGAAGCTCATGATTGGACTCAGGGAAACACTTATATTTTAAATTCAGGCAAAAAAAAAATCTGGTTCCTAAATGAAACCACCAGGTGCCACTATTGCTTCATAGAAAGGAGTGCAATACTTACCATAACGTTTTTTTAAATTAAGAATAGATGCATTTTTCACTCACTTTTGGATAATAATAAAGTCTTCTTAGAAGGCATAATAATCATTTCAACTATTTTGCCCTCATATCCCAAAAGGTCAAATGGAAGAGATTTAAAATATAATTCCCATTAATTCCTATATATGAACTGATGGGGTTGGAATTGAGAATAGAGAATACATTATATCAAGGAAGATTCAGGCCATAAAAGCAGAATTTATGTTCTGAAATACCATACTAATGGTAGAATTTTAATGCTACTGTGTACCACTGTTTCTGTGGAAAATGTATTCTTCATTCCAACTCTAAATTGCAGGGATGCATGTCTCTACCCTCACTCTACGACTTTTAACTAACTGTAAGGTCTTGGCAGTTATTTAACTTCTCCATCTATAAAATAGTAATACCAGCCTCATAGAGTTGTTTTAAAGATTGAATATCATCATGTACATAAATAGGGTTAGACAATTTATTACTTCTCTGTAGGAGTAAAAAGCTTCCAGCTTCTTTGGCTGCTGAGACCACATCTAAAAAAGACAGGGAATGTCTGTCCTGGTGGCAAACAGGTGCTAGATTTGATGTCTCAGGACATGGGTCTTTTTACCCATGTCTAATTTGGGGTCCGTCACCTATGACTGGACCATGACAAGTCACTTCATCCGCTGAGTCCTCAGGTTTGTCATCTTTGAAATAAGGGGGTCAAATGACTCTTAAGTGCCCTCCAGCCAAGAATCCTGTGGTTCTATGAAACCTGTACCACAGAAGGTATCATTCTATCTTTGCATAATATATTTTTCTGACTCAACATTTTGCAGGTATTAAAGTTGGGGGAGACAAAGGGTTGTAGCACCCATGGGTACCATCATTCAATAATTAAGTATTTACTCAATTCCTCAGTGCACCAGACATGGTGCTAGGCTCTGGGGATATAAAAATGAAGATGATGCTATCTCTTCCTTCAAGGAGTTTACAGTCAAGCTGAGAAACAGATACAGATAAATAATGCAAAAAGATGAGGGCATGACTGTGGTATATCTAAGGAGCTGCGGCAATACATGATCAGGTAGGCACTTTATCTTCAATATACTGCTGGTCAGTCAGTTTCATGGAATTCAGAATAACTCTGAGGGACTGAGATTCACCTAGAGATGCAAAAAGATGAGGGCATGACTGTGGTATATCTAAGGAGCTGCGGCAATACATGATCAGGTAGGCACTTTATCTTCAATATGCTGCTGGTCAGTCAGTTTCATGGAATTCAGAATAACTCTGAGGGACTGAGATTCACCTAGAGCTGTTTTCAAGATGAGGAACTATCTGGGCTATCCTTTGGTGGCTATGTTGACTTTTGCCTCAAAGAGACTTAGGCAAGGTATTTCGTTGAAATATACATTCCAGGGTTTTATAATCTATATGAAAATGAGAAGAGAATTGCCTGTAGTACAGCAGAAAGAAGACATAATTGTTTATGCTAGAAGAGATTCTCCTGCCATTTAGCATAGATGCTCACATTCAATTTCAATCCCACAATCTTTCTAAAATTCCTCCTCTTAGTGTTTTCCAGTGGTTCTTTCCTCTTCTCTGCAAAATGCTATGCTCAGCTTTGCCAAATCTTTCTCAACTGGGTCAGCAGCTCCAAACCCCTACTGCCTCTGGGTTCTTGCCAATATGGCCTCATTTATCTGAGACTCCCAAACCAGGGCATTGTGGGGCTGGAGAAGAAATGAAAGAGCAAATGCCAGCCTCTGCCACCTAGCAATTTCAAACGCTACCAAATCCCCATCTGCTTACCAGACTCTCAGTAGTAAGTTCCGGCAAATCCTGGATGGTACAGCAAGGGTAATCCAGGACCGAGATGCTGCAAGATGCAGAGATAAGGATAGGCTTTAGGTAAACGGCAACAGCAGGAAATGGTATTTGAAAAGAGCAGGAGTTATTTCTCTCCAGCAGGCCTCATCCATTTTCAAAATTGCTTAGTGACCTCAGCTGAAACTGAGGGCTCTGGTGCCGGGCAACTCCAGCTCAAGGCTCTTTTCCTCATGATCATGAGATGAACCACAAATTCTTTCAGGCTTGCCCCCATGTGGCAGGTGCAAGAATTAGAACAGAAAGAGAGCCTCTTTTCTTCTTACCTCTCCTCACTTTGTTAAAGGAATATGTAAACTTGAGTGCATTAGTGTTTCTGCATTTAAGTGTATGTGTGAATACAACTGTGCTCCCAGAGATGCTGCCCAAACCCATTCCACTTAATAATAATCTGAGGATGTGAGGATAAAACAAAGATCTCTCCTGTGTCTCTCGCCAGACCTTTCTGAAAGCTGGGAGCTCTGGGTTTCTTGGACAAAGGGGTCAGCTTGGGAAAGGGCACTGGGTCTAGCTGTAATGTTGTTCATCACCTTGATTCACTCTACTGATTCTTCCAGGGTTGTCAGTTCTGTACTGCCCCATCAGGATAAACATTCTTGGCTGGCTCTTCCACCTACCTACCCACCTCCCACTGACAAAGCCCCATGGCAAATTAGGCGCTGGTGACCAGAAAATGGGGGCAGGAAATCAAAGATAGATTTGTTCCAATCTCTCAGTGATTTGAATTCTAACCTAAGGGGGTACAAAATAGATTTACAGATATCTAGAGTATCTGGATCATAGGAGCAATGAGGAAACTGCAATAACAAGCTGTGGGTGCTCCAAGTTCTCAGGGATTATTCAAAAGTAAAACTTACACATGGTGCATAAGAGGACCATCTTGTCCAGGCCAACCTTAGCAAAAGCTATAGTCTGCCGCTATCACTCTTCCAACTCCAAATAGAACCCAGTGGACATCTACTGGATTGTCTGTCCCTCTTCTTCCAGGCCTAGGGCATGGGAGGGGCATTCAGTTCCTGACTCCACTCCCCCAGCCACAGTTGATTGACCCAGGGGTGGACCTCTAACCCTGGGAATCTGAAACAGAAATTGAGAGTCAATTCAATCTCCGAGGTGGCATTATGACATGTTTAGCTAGTGTGGGCCTATTTCGCCAAGTGGCCTGAGAAGCAGACAAAGCAGACTGACAAGTCAGTGAGAGAGGAAACTGGAGTGTCCACAGATGGAGGTGGAAAGCTTCCTGGGTTCGCCACACTACAGACCAACCCTGAGGCCCAGAGCTGCACCTCTGTCCTAGGTTCCATAAGATGATACATCTCATTTCCTTCTAACAAAATCTCCATTCTTTGTGAGTCCAGTCCAGCTGGTCTGGGTTACTTATAACCAAGAGTGCTGACTGATACACCCAGGTGCCTACATGCAGTTGTGGCCCTGACACAGCCTGATCTACACTTTCATATTCCCTGGTAACCCAACTAAAATGTCTAAAGTGCCATTTTTAAGGGGGTCAGCGCACAGGTTTCCACACAGTTGGGTAAAAACCCATTCTCCGATGGGTTAGCATTTCCCCAAAAGGGAAAGTGTTTAAAGTATTCTCACATATATTACTCTTAACTAATGCTTATAAAATCTCTATGATATAATCAGAAGAGGTATTCTTATTTTAAAGATGAAAACACTGTGGCTCAAAGAAACAAAGTGTCTCACTCGATATTACATAGCTAGCAAATGGCAGATCCAGGTCAGGAATCCAGGTCTCATGACTTCAGGTTCTGTGGGGTGTTTTAAACTATGTACAAGTGGGCTGCCTGTACATGGTGGAATTTCAGGCAGTACTGACAGACAGGCAAGGCAACATCTTCCAGCCTCCTCCCTCTCCAGTTACCCTAAGTATGAGATCAGCCCTCTAACTTTAGGAACTTTGCTTCTGGTAAAGAAATTCTGATGAACTCTACTGATTAACATGCTTCCAGTTCCTGTGGAAGTAGCGAACTAAGGAACAAGGATCTATTATGCAATCCCCAAGTCCCCACTTGGCTGAAGGAGTGGAAAGCAATTTATATTCACAGGCAGTAATCCTGCCTCTGATGCTTACTTAAGGGGTCTCACTTGGATGTTAATATTAAGCAAGTCAATTAACCTCTCTGAATTTGTTTTCTAATTGGTAAAATGAGAATAAAACTTATAGTACCTCTTAGCACTGTTGAGGAGATTAAATGAAATAATGAATGCTAATATACCTTATTTTTTAAAACTACAAATTGATCTACCTACGCAAAGTCTACTACTTACCTTCAGTTACAAATTTTGCCTAACACTTTACAGTTTACTAAGTGTAATTGCTCCAATCGTTCCAACTCATGATTTATACTAAAACCAGGTGTGGCCAGACAGTTATTTTTTAAAACTACAAATTGATCTACCTACGCAAAGTCTACTACTTACCTTCAGTTACAAATTTTGCCTAACACTTTACAGTTTACTAAGAAGTGTAATTGCTCCAATCGTTCCAACTCATGATTTATACTAAAACCAGGTGTGGCCAGACAAGCAGGTTATTTTACAAAAACCGTCTCCTGATCTTTCTGCCACAGGGCTGAAATTTCATGATTCAGCTTCATTTCTTTGAAGAGGCCAAACCAAATACCCTCATCAGCTAACACTTTAAGAAAATTAAATTTAACAGTGACAGCTCTATGACAGGAGGGACTGGGACACCAAGAGAACTGAAAGGCTCGAAGATGATGTAATTTTCTCAACTACCCCAAAATAGCCTCTTGAAATAAACCTGTCCAGGGTCCATACCTGTTTTTGGCAGTGATGTAGGACAAGATATTTTGATTGAAGAACTTCAGGATCAAGGGGATGCAGTTGGCAAATACCAAGTGTTGCGATACATATTCAAACTGAATTAAAAGATCAAAGCAAAAAGCTCTGCTTATTTAAGGGAGAATACGAGGTATGTATGAAAAAAAGAGAGGGAAGTACAAATCTAATATCCATTCCTGAGAATATCCACTGCCCATTTGTGTTATTGGTCATCCTGTCTGGGAAATGGGGAGAATCATCTTCATCCAGCCCATCCTATATGGAAAGGGACAATCTACAGTGTATGTGTAAGTTCCTGACCAAAAGCACAAAACAAACAAGCAAGAAAGAAAATCCTACTCCAAATAAATAGAAAGAATTGCTGTGAGATTTGTTCCTAAGCTCAACAGGAAAGGAAGGCTCCCTGAGGGAGTTGTTTTCCATACCAAACCTCTGGTTCATAATGTTTCAACTGGGATTGATACAGCAGGGACAGGTGCAGCTTACTCCTGGCAACTGCCCGCATCACTCAGTCAGGTTGGGGATGGCACAGAGTAACCAAATGAACCACTGGAATGTGGGCTCCAGCTTGTCTGTCTGGCACATCATACTATCCCCAGTGCTTAGAATATCAGTCAGTATTTTAATGAGTGAAGGCACAAGAAAGAGCCCTTCAGCCAACAGACACTGCACTGAGAAGACCAAGATGTCTTTGATGGGCTAAACACCAGAACATGGGGACTTCCATTTTGCTCTCTTGAATTTGAATGGAGTTTGTGTACAGGAAGAACTACTGGGGTAGATGGTCATAAGAGCAGTGTCATGGGATTTTGTCACCCTGGATTTTGCCCATGATACACTGAGGAGCACCAAACAGTTTGTCGCCAGATCCAGAACCCAGGATGTTGGGACAGTACAGAAATGAGGTTGAAAAAGCAGAGAACTGTGGTGTTTTAAATTCCCTAGCTCTTCCTGATCCCCTAGAAGTAGCCACAGCAGCAAGCTAAGCTGCCCTCTGCCCCTGGATATGGGTTAGAAGTGGGTAGCTTGGCTCACGCCATGACCACTTCCCTCTTCTACTCAGTATTTTCTCCCTGGAAGCTGACACAGGGTATTTTCCAAAGCCCCAGACAGAGCAGCCAGTACATACTCATTAACACGTGACAGAAAACTTTTCTCAGTTTGAGATGTGCCTGTAGCCCTGTCAGAATTCACTGACACTGACACACACTGGCAACATCCATCAAGCCACCCACCTGTCTGGCTATTGATCCACATACTGCTCACCCAGAGAAGCAGATATAAACACACACCCACAGTTCTGTTTTCTCTCAACTAGGAACACTATCTCCTACCCACCCCTACTCCTCCCTCTGCTGCTGCTCAGCAAACATTGGCAGAAGTATGAGCACCCAAGACACCCTAACATACCCAAAGATGTCTTTGAATATACCAATGTGGAGAAATACCCTGGTATTACAGGGCCATGGACACAGACCCTGCAGGGGCCTCCCTGCACTCTGAGGACCTGCTCTTCTACCAACCAACTTGATTCTGACTTCTTAGGAGGAAAATGGGGCAGAGCCTCTGGGCAGGAATGAGATGCCTTCATCACCTTCCCATGGTCTCCCTCAGACAGGAAGCATCCATTTGCTGTCCCCATCTTGCCCCTATAACTTCGTAATGTCCATGGGACCAAATCCAAACTTCTTAGCATGGTAAACAATGCCTTCATGGGAAAGCAGGTTCATAACCTTTCTTAGCCTCAGTTTCCTCATCCAAAAACATGAATAAAATAAGACCTACCTCATAGGGTTTAGAGAATTATTTTATTTCATTTTTTAATTTTTTTGCTGACCGATACAGGGACTGAACTGTGGACCTTGGTGTTATCAGCACCACACTCTAAACAACTGAGCTAACCAGCCAGCTGGTTGAGATAATTAAATAAGGCCCATACAAGCTTAACAGGGTGCTGGGCACATTACAGGTACTCAATAACTGTGTGCTATCATATATAATGATCTTCTGACCCCTCTAGCTTCATGTATCACCAGACCATCTCCCTCTCCCCCTGCCTCAGGGAGAACTCCAGTAATATTTAATTAGTTTCCAAAGGTACTTTGTTCTCTCTCCCCTGGACTTTCACATATTAGCTTTTCTGCTTGAATTGCTTCCCATCTTCTTTCCCTGACAATTCCCATATCCTAATATCTATTTCTTTAGGATTCAGGTTAGAAGTCATCTCTTCACCTCGAGTTGGATTAGGTGTTTCCATAACAGCCAATGTTTACCTGTGTCACAGCACTCATCACTCTATAATTGGCTATTTATATATCTAAATTCTTTATAAAACTTCAAGGCCCTTAAGAGCCAGAACAGTGCCTTATTCAGAATCATCTCAAATGTCAGAAAAGTGCTTCACATACAGAAAAGTATGACCAACATATTTTTCCCCCTCTTTATGTGGAACATTTGAATTCTGTTGTGCATTGCTTCAAAACTGGTAGGGCATATTCCCAAGAAGCTAGAGATTCCTACCCATAATCCTGGGATAACATACAAAGGACACAGATATCTGCCCCCCTCTTTATGTGGAACATTTGAATTCTGTTGTGCATTGCTTCAAAACTGGTGGGGCATATTCGCAAGAAGCTAGAGATTCCTACCCATAATCCTGGGATAACATACAAAGGACACAGATATCTGCACCTTTCTAGGACAGTTCCCCTCATCTCAGTCCATATCCCCACCCCAAACTTGTGCAACAGGTAGCTGGATTCCCTGAGTGAGGACAAAGGAAAGGCCAAAAGATGCTCAGTGGGACTGTCAGGGCCCTTGCATCCTTCCTTTGAGACACAGGGCCTGGAGAACACCCGAGACCCATAGAGATGCACTCCTAGCTCCTCACCTGGTAAATATGGTTGAGTTTGAAGTGCTTGAGGAGTAGCAGTAGCAGAGCAGAGATACTCTTTACAATGATCTCCTTGTGTCTATTCACATCAATGCCCAGCTTCATGCTCTGGAGAACAGTGATGCTACAATGGCGAGAGGAGGTGTTAATACAGAGGATGGCCTAAGAGGAAGGCCTACAAAGATCCAGGTATTTGTATACAATATATACAAGAGAGCCAGAACCTGGGAAATCTGAACTTCTGTGCTAGGGAAACTTCCAGAGTTCCCACTTACAAGCCTGTCTGGAGAAAAGTTCCACTGATTGCTTTGTTTCTATCTCTTTCCTTTGGTAAGCTCATCCCTTGGCAATGTCCACACCAGGGCAGCCAGTCACAGGCACTGGTGTCACCCTCCAGACCCTCAGTTCTGAGCTAAAAAAGAGCATAGCAGACAGCCTTGCAGGAGAAAAGGGTACTGGTGAAAAAGAGATCTCCTTGGAGACAATCCCTGTTGATAAGGTGAGGTGGGGGACTAGACAGACCCTGCAGATAAGACAGCTAGTATCTTGCAGCTGTCCCAGTTGAAACACTCACGGCATCTCCTCAGGCAAGACGTCTGCCAGGATATTGATAGAGTCCGTCTTCGCCTTGGAGGTGGGGGCTGCAGCTAGAAGAATCTTAAGCAGAGCAATCTAGGAAGTAGAAAAGGAAGAAATCCACCCCTGTCCATCCCATTCAGCAATGAAATTATTCTTCTGTACTTCACCAGCCTATGAAAAGTGCTATAAAGCCTTTCTCGGGCCAGCCCGGTGGCACACTGCTACAGTGTGCCGCTTGGGAGTGCGGCGGCGCTCCCGCCGAGGGTTCGGATCCCACATACAGACCGGCCGCTCACTGGCTGAGCGAGGTTGCAGGTGCAACACCGAGGGTTGTGATCCCGTTGCCGGTCCCGGTCCGGTACGGGCTCGACACTGAGGGTTGCGATCCGTTGCCAGTCACGAAAAAAGACAAAAAGGAAAAAAAAGAAAAAAAAAAGCCTTTCTCGAAGTTCTTCCCGCCAAATCTCCCTAGTGTCCAGAAGGGCAAACAGATGCCCAATCCTGAGAGGCCTGCCTGTGAGGCTAAAGAGAGAGCCAGACGAATTTCATAGGCTGTTCTGCTTCAATACTATTCTTTCCAAAGGGGAGGATGGAAGGAGCAGAATAAGAGGGAAATGCATAGAAATAAGGTGGGAGGTTTAAGCCCAACTTCTCCCACTTTTTCTTCCTCCAGCCCTGATCATCAGCATCTTCACCACTCCTAGCCTGAGGCTATTGTAGTGGATTGAATTATGTCCCCCCCAAACTCCCTTGAAGCTTGAATTGTGTCCCCCAAGTTTTATGTATTAGAAACTTAGCCCCCACCGTGACTGTTAAGAAGTGGGAAATCCTATTATGGTAGTTGAAAGGTGGAGCCTTGAAGAGGTGATTAGATTGTGGGACCATGCTGTAGCGAATGGATTAAAAATGGTGGTCAGGGCGTGGTTCTGAGGGCTTTGAGAAAAGAGAGAGGAGACTGTTTCTCTCTCTCTCTCTCTCTCTGCTTTCTCTGCTTCTACCGTCTTGCAATGTGAGACCACAGGGTCACTGTCGCCACCACCAGATGGTCTTTGGACTTCCCAGCTTCAGAAACTGTAAGCAATAAATTTTGTTTTCTTTATAAATCACCCAGTTCCATGTATTCTGTCATAAGCAACACAAACGTACTAATACAGCTATCTAGGATATGATAGATGGCAGCAGATCTCACAGGGACTATGGTATTTACCTAGGAGGAGGGACCCCAACGTATCCTGTATAGACCCCACCTTATTCCCTACCCCTCCCAATGAAGGACTAGGGGTCCTAGTCCTTCAGCATCTTCAGAGGAGCCCTGAGGAAAGCTCAGAATTGTGTGTCAGCGAATGCTTGCCAAAAGGGTGACAGCTCAGAAAACAAGCTCAAATGATAAACAGCTCAGCCTGAAATGGCTCTCAGCTGTCTATTCCTTGCAGCAGAGAAGTGCAGCTCTGGCCCAGCCATCTCCTTACCATGTACTGGGGGAGGCTATACAGCATGCCCTGGTAGAGGATTTCACATGGTGTCTCTGGTACCACCTCTTCCCCCTGTGGTAGGAAACACACAGTTTGCCCAGGCCACTTTCCTGGTAACCAAAGGCTATGTCTTCTTGGTTGTAAGAGATGGCATGAAAAGAGCACTAAGCTGAGAGTCAGATCTAGGTTCCTATCCTAGCTGTGTTAAGACTTGCTACATGACCATGGATAAGTCACCTTGTCTCTCTGATTCCTAATTTCCTCTTAAGTAGGATGAATGGGCTGGTCTAGAAGACCTCTAAGGGCTCTTCCAGTCTGGACAATCTATGATTCTGGTTTTCCTATTTTATGGAATCAATCCAAAATTTTTGTTTCCATGTGACATGCTGGATCAAGAGCCAGAACCCCCACACAAGAGTTGGCTCAGACTACTGCTTTGCTGGACACACACATACAGAAGGACCACCCTGGATACACATGGGCTCAACTCAGACTGTAGGTATGCCTGGGACACTGGAACAGATGCCCCACACGGAGGCACTTCCCACAGTGTCAATCTGAGGCCAACTGAGAGCTCTAGGATGCTCTGTAAGCCAGAAAGGAAAGGCAGGTGGCTTAATAATGAGGGCCAATAAGGGAGTTGAGTAACCTCTGGCACAGAGAGATAGGAAGGAGTATTAGCACGGAAGCTTTTAGGTGGATGGAAACTATTTTCTGCCCCTCTCCATTAGCCCCTAAAAGATTACTTTCTCCTTTCTGAATAGCCCCCTCATGCACAACTATCTGTGTCCTTTTGATGACCCTAACTAAGCCTTTGATCAGTGTGGGAAGGCAGGGGCCTCGGGTGCTAAACAGGCTGCTCAGGCCACTGTCATCTTTGGCCAATGCAGTCCCTTCTCCCCAATAAAATTTTTATGGTTCCTCTGCTATAGGGCAAGGGTCACTGCCATGAGACCCTAAGGCAGGGAGGAGTAACAAGGCCCCTTCCATCCCACACAACTCAGCTGCTGCTTAAATGGACACAGGTCTTAAACAGGCATTCAACAAAGCCTGGTAATCCCGGCATGTGTGTCTTCCTGCTCTCCAAAAGGCCAATTTCAGGTGTTCTTACCTCTCCTCAAACCACCCTTCTTGTCCCACAACCCCTAAATAGTTATTGACCCTTCCTTACACTTCATGGAGAAAACAGAAGCAATCAGACACACTCTCATCTTCTGAACAACAAATCTATCAAAGAATCTCTGCCTTCCTTCTTGACATGAAGGATGAAATGCCTGTGCTTCTATCAAAGGCAAATCCTCCACTTGTGCTTTTTTACTTTGTGCTTTTCCCACGCCCTTTTACTTTGTCCAATGCATCAGTCCTGTACTTATCTCCCCTCTCCTGGATCATTTCTTTTAGGATAAAAACATACTCTAGTATCTCTCAGCTATAAGACACCCTCCCTTGACCCCCACATCCTCCTTTGGCTACCATTCCAATTCTCTTCTTCTCTTTACAATAAAACTTTTATGTTAAATACTTCCTTTCTTCCCCCCCACCCCCCGAACACCCTCTTAGATTTTCCTTGGGAACAACCTCCTTTGTTGACATTCCTTTTCAATACACTCCAACTAGGCTTTCAGCCCCACCACTTCACCTATGGTTGTTCTTATCAAGGTCACCAGTTATCTTCACATTGCCAAATCCAATGAGAACTTTGGTTTTGTATCATGTGCCATCTATCAGCAGCATTTGACCAGCTGATCACTCCCTTCTTCTTGAAAGACTTTCTTTTCTCAACTTTGACGATATCACAATATTCTGGATTTCCTCCCATTTCAGTGAGTGTTTTCTTTTATCTTCTTTTCTAGCTCCTTTCCTGACTCATCCCACCCTCAACACACTGGTGTGCCCCAGGGCTTTGTCCTGGTTCCATCCTCTTCTCTACTCCCTCCCTGGGGTTATCCCAGCCATTTTATGGCTTTTAACACTGTCTATAAGTCAATGACTCCCAGATTTATTTCTGGAAGCCATTCCTCTCCCTAGGAGTCTAGACTCATATCTATCTAATTGCTTTGCAGTACCACATTGGTATCTAATGGGCATCTAGCACTTGGTATGACCAAAACAGAACTCTTGATATTCCTCCCCATCTTGGCAAATGGTACTTAGACTTGATTCCTCACTTTGCCTCTCTGTCCACATCCAACCTAACTGTAAGTCTTGTCAGCTATACCTCCAAAATATAACCCCAAATCATTCACTTTTCCTTATCTTCATAATTACAACCCCAGTCCAGGTCACCATCATTTCTCACCTTGACTATTTCAAGAGCTTCCTAATTAATCTCCTTGCTTCCAATCTTTCCTGGTCCAATCTTTAAACAGCAGACAATAGTTATCAAAAACATAAATCAGATCATGACACTCCCCTGCTTAATTCTCCAAAGACTTCCTTTGTACTGTGAACCAACTTTAAGCTCCCTACCTTTGCTTACGGGTCCTATGTAAAAAGGCCCCAGCCAACCTCTCTGACTCCAACTCTACAACCCCACCTCTTGCCCATGTGCTCCAGCCACACCAGCTTTCTTTCACTACCCTTGTTAAGCTGTTCCCTCTGCTTGTAATATTCTTTCCCCTGGTGTTCCTATGGCTGGCTCCTTCTTGTACTTCAGATCCTGGCTTAAGCATCACCTTTTCAGAGGCCTACCTATCCTGACTGCCTGAATTCAAGTAGTCTACTGATGCTTCTATCATGTCATCCTATTTAAACTTTCTTTACTGTATCTACCATTCTCTGATAGTCTTGTTGACTTAATTGTTTATTATCTTTCTTCCCCAAGTTTAATATATTGTGAAAGCAGGACTTTGTCTTGGCTAGCCCACAGTAAGAGCCCAATGAGCTGAATGAATGCATGAAAACATGCTCTGTGACAGGACTACAGACAGATTTTCTTCTATGCTCCTCCTGTGCAGGACCCCCTTAGCTTACCAAAGACATGGGGCACTTCTCCAGTTCCTCTTCATTCTTGATCTGCACATCTGCGATGGAGATATACTTGTGCTGGTGAAGATAAGAAAACATCAACAAGGGCTGAGGGCATCAATCATATGTGTACCAGCCTCTTACATAATCTTCCCCAATGACAAGGAAATGTTCTGTTTATGGGTCTGTCGCCCAAATAGATATAAACACTCTGAAGGCAGGAGTCTTAATCACCTCTGCATCATCAGCAATGAGCAAAGTACTTTATACTCGGTGTTTCTGTTTATTCCATGTTCCCATCTTTGTTGAAGTCCAGCAAATACTTAAGCATCTACTTTCAAAAAATGTGCAAGGGGAACCTAAGAACAGGCCCTTGCCCCTGGACCAATGCCCTGAGAGTACTGATGTGTGTGCATGTATGTATGGAGTGATGATTCCATACTCTTTGTGCTCACACACACAACAGATGTAGAGCAGACTCCTACTCAATCCTGGGTCTTTGGAAGTTAGTGGACCTATGGGGAGAGAAAAGTGAAAGGAAAGGAAGCAAGGAGTGGGAAGAGAAAGAGAAGGATGGGAAGAGGGAAAAGGAATGAGAGGAAGAAGAGAATGGAGCTGGCTGGTCAGCTCAGTTGGTTAGACCACAGTATTGTAACATCAAGGTCAAGGGTTTGGATATCTGCATGAAAGTTGCAAAAAAAGAAAGAACTTTTTCATCTATCTAAATGTAGAAAACTGGGTAAGAAGGGAGAGACCTGATTTTTCCTATTCGGCCAAAAGGCCTACAGGGGAAATGTAGAAGGTTCAGAATGTGTCTAACAGAAGAGCCCAACTCAGTACCCAGAACCCTGGTAATCCAACTTGCCTTGATGGCTCCCTATCCCCGAAGACTGAGAGCCCACCCTGGTCACCTGCTTTAGGGTCTTCACACTCTCATGGATGGGTCTGGGTAATCCAACCAAGGTATCTGTGTCCCTGTGAAAGGTCAGACACACCAGATCATAACCTTCAAAAGTACAGAGAACTACCAATGCCTCCTTGAGTCACATGGACCATGCCACTTTCAGCATTTACCCCCTGGTACCCTGGACCTTCCTCTGCAAACTTCTGGGTCCCCTATAATTGCTTCAGGACACAAAAATAACAATGGCTCACAGAATTGTTCCTGAAAATTAGATTTGTATAGTCTCAGGGACTCACTTGGTCTGCGCCTCCTTGAGTCACATGGACCATGCCACTTTCAGCATTTACCCCCTGGTACCCTGGACCTTCCTCTGCAAACTTCTGGGTCCCCTGAATTGCTTCAGGACACAAAAATAACTATGGCTCACAGAATTGTTCCTGAAAATTAGATTTGTATAGTCTCAGGGACTCACTTGGTCTGGGAGTGGTAGGTTCCTATTTATAAGGGTATGCAGCCCAATAACACTTTTGACAGTGATACCCCAGTAACAAAGCCTTCTCGGTTTTATAGAGGCCAGTGGGAAGGATTCAACAGGGTGGGGAAAAATGGGGGAAGACTGGATCTGTTATGACCGTGTCTCTTTTTTATAGAATTTTAGCACATTAGAGCAGAAAGGGCCCCTAGGGACCATCTAATCCAATACCCTCATGAGGAAACGCAGGGAAATGACATGTTGCTCAATATCCTACACCTGGCTAAGAACATAAATATTCTCTGAGGAAACTGGAAGGAACCCAAGGAAAAAATTCCATGGAAAAAAATCCAGAGTAGTCACTGGCAATTGCCCATGACCTGGTGACTCTAGGTTGTATTATTACTACCAAGCAACATCCCTCATTCCAAGCCACCTGCCCTTCTGGCCCTCTAAGAACCACTCTATAGCCAGTTCTGACCATGTAGTCACTTACTGCCCTAGGGTGAATCCGATGAACTTGTTCCTGCTCATCTCCAAGAAATGCTCAATGTCCTTCTGTCTGAGAGGATGGTGGAGAGAACAACCCCAGAAAAGGGAAGAAAAGCAAACCTTGAGAGAGAGAAACTTTCTGGGATCCTACGCCTCCAACGAGAGGACTGAAGCAGTGGGGGAAGACAGCAATTAAGAGAGGGAACTTCAAACCTAGGAGTTCTGACAGCTAGACCAGATATATAGACTACTCCACCCTGGGCCTTCAGTGATTGAAACCCCAAAGTTCAGGGTCCCCGGGGCTATGAAACCCACCTGACCTTTGGGGCCCAGGGTAGGCCCTTGGGAAAGGCTACCCGCTCAGCAGAGAGGGGCACCTGTGAGGGTGGAGGTGGCACCAGAGGGTCCTGCTCTAACAGGTCTAACTCTCCATCCAAGGTTCGTTCTCCATCGCCTGTAGACTCTTCTTCCTCCTCTGGGGCTGGCTCCTCAGTCTTGAAGAGATCCCTTTCATTGTAGATGTCCAGGCTGTCCTGCTTAGTGAGGAGTTGCTGGGGGTGGAAGGAAGAGGGGAGGGAAGGTACACAGACATCTTACCCTGGGCATCCTTGTCTGAGGTCACCCCTTACCCACAGGCTTCCAGACTTCAGGGAGCATACGGTCAGAACCCAGCTCTTGTGAGAACATCCCATTCCCCACCTCAAACCTACTGTCCCCGCCAGGCCCAATCCCAGGACAAGCAGCTCTTAAGTAATGGTCAGAGAACAAAGCATAGATAATCCCAAAGTCATAGTTACTTAGCTTTCAGAAAGCATTGATGCTTATTTTATTTTTTTGCTAACACTTTCCTTCCTAATTATGCTCTGCTTAGGTGAATATTCAATTAGTTTGCCTTCTCTGAGCATTCTCCAGCTGGCTGACTGAGGAAGAGGAGGACAGAAGCTTGCTGCTAGGCAGAGGGAAGAAGTAAGTTTGGAATTTTAAGTCTTGCTACAGAAAGAAAAAAAGATCGGACAGAAATAGGCCAAAAAGTTAATAGTGACTGCCTCTGGTTGTTAAGATTGTGGGTGCTTTTTCTTTTCTCCCTTCATCACATTTTTATATTTGTTCCAAATTTTCTACAATGAGTAAGCATTACTTTACAAAA